CGTTCGATCGCAGGTCGCGCGCAACATGTGTTGTCAGCTGGCGGCGGCGCGCGTCGCCGACGACGACCCATGTCGCTGACGATCGCGCGACGGCGGCGCGAGCGCATTGATCGCCCCCTTTTTCATTCGGCCGGCGAAAGGCGCGGCAGCAAGGGCGCTTGACAGGGCGGCAATGTCACGGCCCAATCCTTCGAGCCCAACTCAGCAAACATCGCCCTGGTTTCCGACCGGCGGCCCTGCCCAGCGTTCCAGGGTAGCCGCTGGGCAGAGCGGGCGAGACCGCCCCAAGAGCGCTGGTTAATGGCAGGGGGCCTGCCCCCCATTATAGCGCGCGCATGGCGCCTGATCCCATCGATGGATCTGCGCGCCACCCTCGGTGCAGATGGCGTCTCCATCGGGCGCGTGGCGGCGGAGCAGCTGAACGCGCTTGGGCCGCGCCCCCTTGCGATTCACGTTCTTTTCCTTGTGAGCCACAAGGTCGCGAATGAAGCCATCGACTTGTCTTTGGCCCCCATCTCGCAAGAACGAGGGCCGTAGGCGCGCGGGGGCGCGCGGCGACCGCGCAACCACTTCGCCGCCTGAGGTTCCCTGTCCTTCCTTGTGGTTGGCCCGGGGCCTGGCGATCGCGCCTTCGCGGTCTTCGGGGCGCCCTGGACATCGCCGGCGAAGATGGCGCGCCTCTCTGAGCAATCCCTCCCCACTGGTGCCATTTCGCCCTCTTGCTGCTCCCGACGTCGACCATCTCCTTGCTCGGGTCAACTTCGTCTGCTTTCACATCGTGCCGCGCGCGATTGTCCCCGGGTTCGAACTTGATCTTCGGTTCCTGCATCCTCGCGAAACGGGGGCGAGCAGCGCCAAGTCGCGACGCAAATCGCCTCGCGCATTTCTCATCGCGCTCCCGCGACGCATTGCAATGCGCTGTCGCCAAACCAGTTGCGATCCCCAGGGGCAGTTTCGCCTGCGACGCCAGCGCCTGAACCCCTGCCACTGCCCGCAGTGAAGACCATGTGATGAGCATGGGGCAGTGCGTGATTTTGTTAGCCCTTGGCTTTGCACCTGTAGCCCAGAGAACCGCTGCCTTTACGCCGCCGCAACTTCCCGACGTTGTACGCGCCGCAGAACGGGCGAGAGTGCGTTGTCTCATTGACCAATAGTAGTTCAGTCATGTGCCGACTTTCTCTATGCTCATGGCCCACTTCTGCACCTTCCGCTCGGCGTGGCACTTCGTGCCTGACACGCGGAGTCTTCTTCCGCGGCGCAGGGGATTTCTTTTTGTCGAGCTTCTCAGTCCGCGCATGCACGCGCCGTTTTCCTCGCTTGGGCGCGGGGGGGCGCGGCGCGGGCCCTTCGGCAATCTTTTTCATTGGACCCTTTTGAACAGCCTTGTTCTGGCAACGCTTCATGCGTCTAGGGCCAGGCCCTGGGTCGTCGTAGGCCGCGCCTGCCAATGCGGGGGGATCAGATGCATCGCGCCATTTGGCGCAATGACAGCGCGCGCTGTCCAATCTCAGCGCGGCCGACGCGAAGTGATAAATGGGTGCCCGAACAACCGACCCAATGGCGGCATCGTAAATGTCAACCTCGCCCCCGCGCATCTTCAAGGCCACGAAATGTCCAAATCTTTCCGCGTGCGGCTGCCAACGAACGATTCCGGAGTGCGCGCGCACAACGTTATTGATCGTCATGTCGCATTCCTGAAGCCATCATATTGACGGCCCCCTCTGAGAATCATGGCCCCAATTGTCACTGAATCTGCGAGCGCTGTGGGGGCCGTCGCACGGCGGCCGAGCCTGGTTGAAGGCGACCTCCAGGTGCCGGACTGTGCGGTACAAGCAGGCGCCAGCAACATTTGGTGCGAGTTGCGGCGGCAGCTCCTCACGCGGGGTGGCGCGACCAGACGCGAGTGGCAATTCGCTGAGCAGTGGCTTGGCTGCCGAGGCGCAACTCGCCCTGTATTTGACGCCAGATTCCTCTTGTAGTTCTTCGAGTGCGTCGGTAATGACGAACCGCTGGTCAGGAGATGATATCGCGAGTTCGTCGAAGATGCAGCGCTTCGCTCCCCCCCCGGGCGTGGTCTTTGAAATTCCAAACCCCCGCCTTCTAGCAGCGGGCTGGAAATTCAAAGGCCACGCCCGGGGGGGCATTGGGTTTTGTTCATCGCGAATTCCTTCTGAGATCGCTCTTCCATCAGACATGGTTCGAGCGAGAATCGCAGCGAGTCATAAAACAACGTGGGAACCCCACAAATGAAGATACACATGTAAGTACATCGGCGGGAACCTAGTGCTTTTCACAGGGATCACCTGTTTCAGAGAAGAGAAATCAAGTTCTGCGAATGAAAACACAAGGTCGCCTTTGATTTGAATTAGTTGTTCTATGAACAGCCGGTAGTGGGGACAGGTGATCCTTGTGGCCGCGCAAGGATCACATTTCCGCGTTACCGCTTTGTCTTTGAACGACAAATACGAATCAAAGGCATCTTTGTGTTTTCCATGGTCAAACTTTTGATTTTCTTTCTCTGGAACAAGTGCCCCCCCCTGTGAAAACGCAAGATTTCCATATGTCTCTACTTTTCCATTTACCGTTTTTTGTTTGTGTGCGTGTGTGTGTATGCGTGGGGGGGGGGGTCGGACATGTTAGAACTCTAACCCCGAGAAAGCAGAACGGGCAATTTATAAACCAGAAGAACAAGAAAAAGAAGCAACGGAACAAAAGCCATGAAACATAAGCGGCAGTTTTGTGTTTTCATAGGGGTCAACTGTTTTCGGAGGAGGAAAATCAAAGGTTTGATTTGGATACACCAGGTTCTCTTCGAATGTTCGGGGTTGATCTACACAAAAAGAAAAGCGGTAGTGCAGACAGGTGATTTTTGTGTCTGCGCAAGGATCACACCCCCGTTTTCAAGTAGAGATCAAAAAAACCTTGAGATTTCACAGTCAAGCCTTTGGTTTCCCTTTTTCGGAAACACATGATGTTTGATTTTGTTTCTCCCGTTTGTTGTTTTCTCATATTTCGGGTTTCCTTGGAAATCTGAACCCCGACAAGGCAAAACACATGGGAAAAACAACTGGACAGCAAACAACATAAACAATCAACGGGGACCTTGTGTTTTCACAGGGGCCACCTGTTCCGGAGGAGGAACATCATAATTTTGTTGGTGGCAGCAGAAGTATCCCTTGAACTGTTATTTGTTTTTTTTTCCGCGGACGAGCGGTAATGGAGAGAAGTGAGCCTCGTGCCTGTACAGGGATCGCACTCCCGCTTTACCGTGTTTTTTGTTTAGACAAGCACATAAAATCAAAGGACACCTTGTGCTTTCACGGTCGAGCCTTTGGTTTTCCTTTTCCGAAACAGGTGGCCCCTGTGAAAACAGAGGGTTCTCGCTCCTTCTTTTCGTGCTTTCAGTTTTTTTTGGTTTATGTTCCTGGTGTTTTTGTTTCTTCGGAATTATTTCAAACTTTAGGTAGTCAACCAGGTTGAACTCGCAAGACTCAGAAGCGAATTCTTCGGACAAAGAGCTAGGGGAAAGCATCAAACGGAAAAGGCAACACAAACAACAACGCAACGGCCGTAGCACAGCGAAACGGAAGAACATAACGGCAGTAGCAAAGCGAAACGGAAGAACAAACAGGTAGATTTTGGGAGCCCCCCTACCATATACATGTATTTTTTTATAGATGTATATGAATGATTATGGACATTTAAGTTCATATATACACATACATATGCATGAATGTACACATATATATATGTATATATACGTGTACGTATGTATATATAAATATGTATATTGAGAGGCCGCCTTCGAACCGTGAATCTCGTGCACCTGTCTAAAATCGAATGTGCGCGGCGCTGATGCGAAGTCTAGATTTTGAAGCGGGCCCTCAATCTGTGGAGATCGTGCACATTCTAAAAAACGAGCGCGCGCGGCGATGAGGCGGGAGCTAGAATTTGGAACCGAACCGCCCTCAATCGGTGGAATCCGTGCACATGTTGAAACAAAAAAAACAATGTGCGCGGCGCTGAAGCGAGAGCTATATTTAGAAACAGAGCCGCCCTCTATCCGCGAAAATCGTGCAAATGTTGATGGCGAGTGCGCGCGGTGCTGAGGCGAGAGCTAGAATGTGAAACCGAGCCGCCCTCAATCCGTGGCGCTTGTGCACACTCCTAAAAACCACCGTGCGCGGCGCTGAGGCGGGAATTGCATAGTACGCCGATGCTGATTGCGCCCGCGACGATGACGGCGTCCTCGTGTCTGTGATGAAGGTTTTGGAGAGAGCTCGACATGCGCGCGCGCGGCCGACGCGCGAGAATGGCCCGCATGGTTTTATGTGACACGGATCGTGTCCATCCAGCGCGCGCGCGAGGGCGTGCGATTGATGCCGGCATGCGGCGCCAAATTCATAAAGTCAGGAGCATGTTGAACAAACACCTATTGTTTTAGTGAGAGTTCACAAAAGCGCGAGCGCACGTTTTTGTTTGAAAATTGATGTTGAGATACCATGTGTGTTTGATGTTTTTTGACGCGGTTTTGAAATCCTTCCGAAACCAAAGGTTTTCGAAAGATTTCGGCATGCGCGCGCGACGACGCGCGCGTGCGCACTTCGTCCCATTATTTGTAAGGGGGTATTGGAGACTTATGACGAGTGCGCGCTATTTGTTGCAAAGGATGACGGGGGGGGTCGATACCGGTTGGGTTGGGAAAGCTACGAGTTCATGTCTGGGATCGACGATGGGGCAGATTCGTTTGTAAATTGCAATACGAAAAAGGGGGTCGATAAACCGGGTGGGCGGGGTATAATATATTTCCCGTTAGGAAGGAAAATCTAGGCGGCGACGGGGCGGCGACGGCGAGCACGGAATTGCCAGATCGCCAGCCAGGCTTTGACGATGGGCGGCGACGGGGCGGCGTAGACCGCCATCCCAGCCCAAAGGTGCACCTCCGTTGTTTTTTTCCGGCGCGTGTGCACGCTCCGCACCTGGCAACCTGAACGGTCCGCAGTCGTTTTGGCCCAGGCCTGTCCGCGAGAGCGCTCGCCCCCTGCGCAGCATATCGCTTGTGAACAGGCGGGCCGCCATCCAGGGAAACATTTCGGAGATGACGCTCCGCGTCGCCCGCTGGGCCGCGCTCGCGACCCTGGCCGCCTGTGTGGCTGGTGATGACGAGGCGCAATGCCAGGTCGACCCTACAGATGCCTGCAGATGCATACTGCGGGGCAGCGTGTTCAGCGACATCGACGGCTGCGACCCCGCCGCCTGCGACAATCCCACGCCCGATCTCAGGGGGCTCGTCGACAGCTGCGCGGAGAAAGCGAAGACAAAGGAGTCGCCGTGCGACCAGATCGGGGACCTGATGGGGTGCGCAAGAGAAATGGGTTGTGTAGACAGAGTAGTGCAGCAGTCTTGCCAGCACATTGTGAAGACACAGTCAGATTGCAACGTCGACTGTGGCGGCGCCGCCCACGCGGCGGGCATTGGCCTGCTGCCCGTCCTGGTGATGTCCCTGGCTGCAAGCCGCGGCCTTCAGGCGTGATGGCCAGAGCGCTGACCGTCCAGCGATGGCCTGCACTCCTGAACACGATGCCATTCTAGCTTTCCAGGGCGGTGCACGCCGGTGTTCCTCCGGGCGCCCGGCTTCAGCTGTAGGTGTAGGCTCGACGGTTTCACGCTCATTTTGGTCGCGGCGACGTCGGTCAACAAAGGCTTGAACCGTTGGCGAACATGCGCAGCCAAATAGCTGCTGACGGCGCATCACTGAGCAACGAAAAGGA